ATCATACTTTACTGTACGTCTAGCACATTGTATTAATTCAGGTTTATTTTGTACGTATAAAAAAATCATCAAATTTCATTTGGCTATTTAATCTTATTTGTAGTTCAGCAGCAATTGTTTCAATTGACATTCAATTTCTACTAGGTGTCCATGCTTGTTTCATGTGATTAAAGATCCTTTCAGTAAAAGCATTGAAAGAAGGAATGGAATAAACAAAAGAAATTAATTTCGTTATTTCTTGACAGTTTGTCGTTGTTCTAAAGATCAAATAAGCCCAGAGTTGATTTGAACGAATTCTAGGATGGCTGCGTTGATGATTTTATGTCGTTGTTTTATAAAAAAATCTTTCTTCTTTTTTTTTTATAACTATGCTGAATTTTATTCGTGACATCCATATATTTTTTTTTGTGCGTTTTTATACAATTTTTGCGGACGCTTACGAGCATAGAAGTCAACTGACAAAATAACGATAAGAAACAGAGAACGAATGACAAGGAAGTGTTATGGCACATTGGCTACATGTGCCATAAGAAACAGGTTATACGTGCTAAACATATATGTTCGTTCTTTCCTTTGTTTCTTTTTGTACTTTCGTTCTTTTCTTTAATGAAATAACTCTTGTTCGTTTTATTCCGTGTCTTGGTTTATCTTTTTTCTCTTTCTTGTAAAAGTCAAGAAAACATTGTTCTTGACCTCGAACTAAAATCCATTGCGTAGGTAGTAATGCGTTACAACATTCTATACATATATGTAGATTTATACGCCTGAAAAAAGTAAGCTGCAGTCTGTATTTAAAGATATCGTTATCATAGTAGTATATGTTTTAAAAAATAATAATATGTTCTCAAAGCGCGTAGAGTTTCCTATCAGCCTGTATATCTGCCTTTTCGTTTGAATATATTTATTACCAAAAAAACTTGAGTGTAATTCAGGGAGTTTCATGTCCAGATTCCCACAGGCTTGATTTTGTCACTATCACCAAGATTAGGTTTTAAAATTTTTCATTACTATATAATTATCTTCTGAAAAAAGTAATTATATATTCTGATAGAGCTTGAAATTCTCCATCATCCTATATATATTTTTCCTTGCCTTGCATTTATGTAGTGAATGTGCTGTAAGTGCAGTATGCATAAGATAAAAAAACCCTTTTGAATAGCTTAGACAATGTTGTGGTAAGTTCTTGATAAGTACTTCATCAATTTTTGCTAATAATTCCTATAAAGTAAGCTCATTATATGTTTAATTAATAGAAACTAGCAAAACGAACCAGATAGAGTGAATACCAATTTTGAAAAACAGAAACAATGAATGAAAATATAAAGAAAGTTGTAAACCATCGGATACGATTAAGACAAACATGAATACTGATAAAACATATTATTCCCATGCCACTCAATAAGAGACCAGTCTAGAATAATACATTAAAGAAGAAGATTAAATTAATAAGGTTTCAATCGAATAAGTGTTAGTATTCGAGAAGCGAATATGTCTAAAATTTTAAACATTGATTAGAGAAGATTGAAGTGATTAGATTTTGTGTGATGGAACAATCTATAATTAAACTGAGATTGCATCGAGTGGTGTAACCAAGGTGGGACCAGATGGAGCTGAGTCCAACGATCGGAGTTTTAAGCCCCATCACTGGGATTTTAAGTCCTACCGCGTTTACTTTAAAGCTATTGCTCTGTTTTTAATCCAGTCAAAGTCTTTAACATTTCCTGGCTACACGTCTTTTCAGAACCCATTCGTTTCTCAACCATTTCCTATATGAAAAACAATCATAAACCTGGCAGCATTCTGAAATTCAGTGGCTGCATACTTTTTTTAGGGTTTGATAGTTTTCTCAGGTCAACAACAAATCCTAACAAAATTCTTCTCGGATCTCTCAATAGTCTGATGCGAAAGACCAAAAATTTTGATTAGGCTGTACCCTTAATTATATTCGGACATGATTTCATCGATTCCTTCTGTTGGATACATTTCTCCTTTGAAGAGTAGAAGTAATTCACTAATTTTGTAAAATGAAATGTATCGTAAGTTAATGATTCCTTTTAGGACAGCATTCTTGTTGGCTCTTTTATCAAGTAAATTTTCGCTAGATCTAAAACAATCTCGATTGTGGAGTATATAGTTTAGTCCTCATGAAATCTAACGCCTCAAAACCCAGAGTAATATTATCCTTCTTCTCGCCATGTAGAGTCTAATGGTTGAGCCCCGCCATCCTTAAATTTTTAGTTACTTACTGGATGCAGCTTACAGATCTCTTCGAAAGTTCAACTAGTAGTAGTCAGCTTTTCTTATGATAATATACACTTAAAAGAAAATTTAATTACATTTTTTCTCAAAAATTAAATTTGTATAACTGATAACAGTTTCGTATTCAATCTCCTGGAAATCAACAAACAATTGTTTTTAACTAGAGATTTACACCAGTACATTAATCTATCCCATGTTATATAAGAACTGGAACAAAACTGCTGGTTTTTATTATATACTGCGATTTTCCGCTAAAATAGGGATGCACCAAACCCAAACCCAATTATTAGATTGGGTTTGATTGGGTTGGGATTTGGGTTTGACAAGGTTTAGATTTGGTGCACTCCTACGCTAAAATAATTTGGTTAATCAGTTCAACAACGATTCTTGAAAATTTACTGCTCAAAATGATTGATTTCGCTATTTTAGATGTCTTTTTCTCGTACCTTCCGATATGGCAAAAATGTGTCAAAAATAATGGCGGTTATTTCGGTTATACTGTTCCGCTTACTGGCTCCCGCTAAATATAATTTACTGCAGTACGTGAACCGGCGGTTTTGACGAATACCACGGTTTACCGCTAAAATTGATCCGTTATTTACGACATGTGATATTATGATAGTGACTCAAAATCTTCAATAATGGCTTTTATTTGAATCTTTTACTTCAAGGTTCAGTGGAAAAGATGAGAAAATAATCATAAAACGAGGACAAGTATTTCTTTAAAAAATTTATCTTTGTTCTAGAAAAGTATCAGAATGCTCAGTATCCAATCTGATATGTGTTGCTTCGCTATTCAGGTGGGTGTGGGTGTGGGTGTGGGTGTGGGTGCGGGTGTGGGTGTGGGTGTGGGTGCGGGTGTGAGTGTGTTGGTGTGGGTGTGGGTGTGGGTGTGGGTGTGGGTGTGGGTGTGGGAGTGGGTGCGGGGGG